AACCTTACCACCACGAGAAAACTCTGCTTCTTCTTCCCCCAAATTCCTCTGTCCCCCGCCATTGTTATAAATCCCCGCCGTAAAAGACAAGCTCCGCGGCGAGATGCTCGACCTCCAGCACGCCGCTGCTTTCCTTCCGCGCACCCAGATCCTCTCCTCGACCGATTACTCCGTCACCGCCGGATCTGACCTCTGCATCGTCACCGCCGGCGCCCGCCAGACAACCTATCCCGAGACTGCAGCAGCTTCCGTCACTGTAACCATCCCTCTGCTTTCTTTCTCCCCCGCGCCGCCGGCGAAAAGAGAAACGGGGCCGACGTACCAGGCCCGTTTCACTACGGCTGATCTGTAGTGGTCGGCGTAGAGAGGTTCCAATTCGTAGAAACTGTTGACGAGAACGCCGTAGGAATTGTCCGCATCCCCTCTCCCCTGTTCCCGATCTCGTCGATTAAGGTAATTGCAATTACATATTTATTACTCTATTTTCTTTTCCCCCAATGTCCCTAGATTTCCAATCTTCGCACACTTTCATTGTAATCTCTCCTCGAACATTTAAAATGTGGATTAAGTTTGACAGCCATTTTATTGCTATTGAGGCTCAGCTCCCTCGCGTTGGGTAATGGTTGAATCTGGCAGCGGTGGAGCTTCTTGCTGCTTTTGGTTTTTTCTACCTGTGGGTTCTTAGTTTGTCCATTTTGCCCCGTTTTTTTGGTGTTTGACCCCATCCAGACTCCCCTTTTACATTTTGACTTGTTGAGTATGCATTTGGCCCATGTTCGACCAGGCTCTGTTCGGCGCACAGGGAGAAGAAGCACTTCTCGCCGGAAACTACCTTAGGGATGCCCAGTCTTGCCGCCAATTCCGTGGTCCAGGTGAAGGCGTCGGCGACTAAGCAATCGGGGCGGTGTTCTTCCAACAATTCTTTGAAGGACTCGCCGAAGGCGGAAGCGGAGTTGAAGAAGATGGCCGCCGGAGGGTGTGTTCGGGTGGCGGTGAGGTTGGGTCGGGTAGGGTATGTGGGTGTGTAAAATAAATTATGTTTTTTTACTTTTTATTTATTTTTTAATGAATATAATAATGAGTTGGAAAATATAAAAGTTTATTCTTTTATTTTTAATAATTTTTTAGTTGCCACGCCACATATTTAACGGTCAACTATGAAAGTTGACTGCCACGTAAGCTAGAGTTAACGGAAATGGACGGAGAGTGACCAAACTTGAACCATTTAACTAATTTGAGTGACCAAGATTGGATTTAAATATTTTCAGTGACCAAACATGAACGTTTTTTGTAATCTCAGTGACCAACCATGTAATTAACCCCAAGAAATGAAGAGACTAGAACTAGAAGGATATGGAATATAGAGTTTGAGAGGAGGTTTGTTTTTAACCATTTATATGTCTTGTAATGGAATCAACGATCCTGATTTGATTAGTAGCAATTGACGGTTAGGATCACAAGAGACTTAAATTGCTATTTAATGTTTTACAATCCGATATGTTCCGGTTTTATTCCGGTATTAATTCAGGACGGTACCATGATTTTACCGGTACGGTATTTTGACAAAAAATATTTAATTATTTCAAAATATTATTTTGACGGTACAAAAGGTTGAACCTCACGGTTGTACCACAAAATACCCTACCAGAGATGAATCCAGTATATGAGTCCGGGAGGGTTTCCTGAACCATGACGTGGTCACAAGATGAATCCATTATTATAATTATTTGGCAGTACAAAAGAACAAAAAAAACTCTAAAACGAAATTATTAGAGATATATTAGATATTTGGTTAACGGTTTTTAGATGAAAATTTTAACAAAATGACATGTCTGATAAGTGTTCCAAAGTACAGGGACATGTTTGATGTAAAAAATAGGCAAAATACCTCTGCATAGCCAAAACTTTCACCTTTGTGCCACTTATAGCCACATTTGGCGAAATACCACTAATAGCCACTTCCGTCCGATTCTTTAACGCTGTTAACGTTAAGTGTGACTGGGCAAACGGAAGGGCTTACGTGTCAAGCCTGCGTTTTACACGTGGATAATAAAAAAAAACCCTAATGTTTTCACCGTCGTCGTTTTCTACTTTCTATCTATCTACTCCTTCGTTTTCCCCGCAGTCGAATTCACCCACCCACCTTCGAAGGCGACGAAGCGACGAAGGCAGTTCAGTCGACGAAGGTGGCGAACTCAACGAAGGCGACGATCTGCCTCCGACGACCAGTGCACCCCAAAAACCTCCACCATCTGGCTTCCTTCCCCACCATCGAAATTCCCCAAAACCTCCAGTCCCGATTTTCCCTCCAGTCCCGATTTTCCTCCTTCGATAAAAATATCCTTGCATGTAATGGGTTGACCAACCGGCGGCGAGCTATGGCGGAGCCCTTCGAAGCTTGTTTTGTGTTGTTTGCTTTGAAGGAATAGCGGAATCGACCCTTGCAATTCGCGATTTTACTGGGTTCGTCGAAACCCTAATCGCACTTGAAAGGGGGATTTTTGTTCCCACGACTGGTAAGGTTCTGTTCTTGCTTTGTTACTGTGGTTGTGGATTGTGGGGTGAAGGTTCTTATAGTTTATTGCTTCTCTTTGTTGTTTGGTTGGTATCGAGCTGTAAAGACAAGAAAGCGACAAGGCAGAGGAATCTCGGGACCACTCGAACAGGAGGATTTTGGCGAGTTTGCCCCCATAATTGAAGGTCAATTAGTCGATGTACTGGGTTAGAATTGTATATTCCTCTTTGATTCCCACGAACCCTAGAATTGAATAATGTTAGCATTTGTTTACCATTTGTTTGGTAGCGATTAAAATAGTGTGAGGATTGTTTAATCACGTGGTTAATGGTGATTAACAAACTGATTAAAACTTGATGACAGATGGCTGATTCTTGGGACTCTGCTTTTGGAGAGAACGATCCAGATGCTCAAGAAGTATCAGATTTCTCCTTGCCTGCAGAAGATGGAATTGAGGCTTCTATTGCTAGAGACATATACCACGTATATGACTCAGACGACGCTGATACTTCTGACGACGAATACCACGAAGCAAGGTCAAACCTACGAGCCTATGGGGAGATGAGGAAAAGGAAGGTTAAGGCGCGGATTGATGGACATGAGGAGGAGGTCGAGCAGTTGGATGATTTTGAAGAAGAAGAATCTGACGATGCAGATGATGATTTGGCTGATGAAAACGAAGAGGATGATCCTGCTGCCTCTCATGCTAATGAACGCGAAGAGGAAGGAGCTGTTGGATCTCATGCTGATGAAGGAGTCCAAGCTAGTGAAGCACCTCAAGTTCAGGAGACAAGGGGAGAAAACTCAAACCACTCGAGTTATAGAGGATCTGAAGACTCAAACCACGTCAGACCTAACCTATCTGACTCTGATGGTAGGGAATTGTTTGATGACGCACCGCATTATGATCCTCATTGTGATCACACTGTTCTTGAGTTCGTGCCAAGGATGAAGTTTGCTAGTGCTGTGGAGTTCAAGGCTGCTGTCGTCCGTCATTCTGTAGCTGCCGGGGCTGGTTTGAGGTGGCTTAGGAGTAATCCAACAAGGAGGGAGGTTAGATGCAAGGACCTGAATTGCAAGTGGAGAGTATATGCTAGCTGGTTCCGCAAGAACCAGAGTTTCATGGTGAGGAAGGCTGGTCTGCCTCATTCATGTGCAAGGAAGCTTCGTGTCAACCAAGTAACTGCCCACTGGATTGCAAGTGACATGTTAGAACGGTTTAGAATTAATCCTGAGTGGGCGCCTGATCAAATTATGGCCGAGGTTAAGCTTAAACACAATATGGAGGTTGCGAGAAGAACGTGTTATAGAGCCAAAGTTGCTGCAATCAGGATGCTTGGAGGTTCACTCGTAGAGGAATACCACAAGGTCAGATCTTACCTTGGTGAGTTGTTGAAGCGTGATCGAGAAGGGACTTTCAAATTGGAAGTGGAACCTCACCATACACAAGAGAAGGTGTACTTCCAGAGAATGTATATTGGATTCTCTTGTTTGAGGGATGGTTTCCTTGAAGCCTGTCATCCAATGTTCGGATTGGACGGATGCTTCTTGAAGGGAGAAATAAAGGGAATGTTGCTTACAGCTGTGGGGAAGGACAACAACAACCAAATGTTCCCAATTGCTTGGGCGGTTGTAGAAGGCGAGAACACAAACTCCTGGAGATGGTTTGTGAACACACTCGCACAAGATTTGAACCTACATGATGGCAGGGGCTGGTCTGTCATCTCTGACCAGCAAAAGGTAATATTCATGAGCTTTGTTGGTTTTATTGGTTTTGTTTGTTTTAATGGTTTAGTTGGTTTGATTGGTTTTGCTGCCTTTGTCGCACAATATGTATAGTAATTGTTTTGTTGGTTTTTTTGGCTTTGTTGCCTTTGTAGGGTTTAGTGGAGGCTATTCATGAGCTGCTGCCCGAAGCAGAACATAGAAAATGCGCAAGGCACGTTTACGCAAACTGGAAGGTCAAACACAAGACTGATAGAGTTAGGAAATTGTTCTGGAGGGCAGTATACTCGTGCAATGAAGCTGACTGGAAGGCTGCTACTTCTGAGATCGAGGCAATTGAACGTGAGGAACGAGGTACGACACCATTTACTGATTTCATGAATGCAGAACCTCGAACGTTTTGCCGGGCTTATTTATGTCCTCTACCAAAGTGTGATTCGGTAGAGTCAAATATTTGTGAAACATGGAATGGTGTGATTGTGAAGTACAGGTGTATGAGAATAATAGACATGTTAGAGGGGATTAGGGGCTATGTGATGGACAGGGTAGTAGCTAAATATAAGTTACTGCATGAATCTACTGATGTGTTATGCCCTAGGATTAGAAAAAGAGTTGAGAAAGAGAAAGCATTGTCCCGATTGTGCACTGCAAGACAGACTAGGAATCTTCAGTGTGAGGTAAAGATGGGAAGTGCAGGTTACATTGTTGATTTAGGTGCAAAGACTTGCACTTGTGGGTGGTGGTCATTGAGTGGCATTCCGTGTTGCCATGCTGTCTCCGCTATTTCACATCTGAGGAAGGAGATTGACAGCTATGTACATCCATCTTATTACATCTACAATGCTGAGCATGCATACAAGAATGGAATCCCTTGTCTAGATGGTAGACAGGCTTGGCCTACTGCAGAGGGATATCCAGTACACCCACCCAAGCAACGAACCATGCCCGGTAGACCAAAGAAGAATCGAAGGAAGGCTGCACACGAACAGGAGGTTCGACCTGCACGAAAATGGGATCGGAGAGGAGGTGGTTAGAAGGGGATCAATCATCCATTGCAAGAAGTGTGGCGGGGAAGGTCACAATACGAGAACCTGTACAGCTCCTACTCAGGCTGCCCAACAGGTATGAATAATGTGCGGTTATAATTAATTGTTGTTTATAATTAATTGTTTTTCCTAAGTGCGGTTCTCTGTTTTCTTTGGTAGAACAACACCACTACACCTACAGCAGCAGCACAACCTACAGGTAACAATGGAGCGAGAGGAAAACGGCCAAGAACTGCAGCAAATCCAGTAAACAACAACAACACAGGTCAAAGAGGAAGAATAGGTCACTGCTCCAAGTGCGGTTCTAGTACGCATAATGTACGAACATGTCCTCTAAACCGAGGAGTAGGTATACAAGTAAGTTGAATGGATGTGGCTAGAATGTTTCTGATCTATTTGAGTTGATGAATTTGAACCGTGGTTATATGCTAAATGTTCGTGTTGTGCTTGCTATGGTAGGACGTTAGGCTGAATGTTTCTGATCGGAGGACTGTTGAGCGCGAGTTGCGAGCTGCCACAAGAGGAATTGGAGTTTACGTGTCAGAGGCTACTGGCAACCAATACGTTAGAGTAAGTGTTTTTAAGGTAAAATGGTTGTTGTTATCGATGATTAATGTAATGGCTGATTTTTATGCTACTATTTCAGCTAAATGGTGCAAGAGGACGTGCGTTTGGAACCACGCAGCCCACTGAGGTCCAGATGAATGGAAGTCAACCCCCACCTTCGCAGCCTTAGACCTCATCCAGGAGTCATCTAAATTTTTTTGTGGAAGGCCATTAAGCTATTAGCTACCTCGATAGAGGTTTATTTTGGATAGATGACTCGTGTATTGGCCTTTTAGGAACACTCTCGGAGTATGTTAGTATGTTGGGTAGGCTTTGCTATTGTAATGTAATGCTCGGATTAAGAAGAACTCGGAGTATGTTGATAGGCAGACTTATGTAATGAACAACTACGATTATGCTATTGAGTATGTTGATAGGCAGACTTATGCTATTGATAGCAACTCTCTCTATTACACTAAAACCTGCTGCTAGCTTCAACAATTGATGAACTCTGTATTATATGAACCAGGGGATCTCAAAATCTGTCACCAAATCTTCATCCATTCTTTCCAAACAGAGAGAATTACATTACATCTCCTTAATGAACTCTCCCTACTAAACTAACATTAGATGTCTGTTTTCACTAATTCTTGAAAACGTTGGAATCGGGATACAAATGTCGAATTACATCAACAATGTAGATTAATTTCCTACCACATAATAACATGGTGCAACATAATAATAACCAATATTACGTTAAGTAACACAATCACTGTCAATACAGCTCGAATAACATGGATTTCATGATTTACTCTCCTTCCTTCATTTAGCATAATTTCATGTGCCTTCATCCATCTTGATAGCTCTTCAGCCAAAAGTTTCTTCTCCTTCTTCCTCCTTTCCGCCTTACACTCAGCTAGCCTCAAACTTTCTTCAATATTCAAAGTCGACAGCCCAATTTCAGAATCATGCTGCTTATCTTCATCGACATTCATTCGCACCCACCTAAAAAAACGACAATTCTTCTTCTCGTCCTGCACCATACGAGCATTCAACTGTATATCCACATCAATGACAATCATCAAAAACCCATTTCTAAACACCTTACCATCCAAAATGGACACCCATAGAACTGTCTTCCTGGGTTAGCTTCGGTTCCAGATGTATTCACCACACATGGCTTCTTGTGCCAACAGAGTACCGCTCCTCGGCTATTGATGCTAGTCGAAGTTGAGGAAGATGCTCGCTTGGACATGGGAAAGGAGAAGTCGCGATTTGGGGGCCGCGAATCGCTCTGGGAAGGAGAAGTCGCGATTTCTTGGCCGCGAATCGCTCTGGGAAGGAGAAGTCGCGATTTCGGGGGCGCGAATCGATCTGGGAAGATGAAGTCGCGAATTCGGGGCCGCGAATCTGCCGAGTAGAAGTGGGATTTGGGGAAGAAGGAAGAAGCGCCGAGTCGGAGCTTACTAGAAGAAGATTTGGGGGAGAGGAGTAAGCTCCGATCAAGATTCGTGTATCTCCTTCGTGGGGAAGAGGAACGATGGGGAAGAACCCTAATTTTTCGATTTCCAGAAAGAGATGGAGAAGATTTGGAAGTCTCGACACTCGACAGATCAGGTATATGGGTTTTTTTTTTAATAAATTAATTATTAATCTGACGTGTCAATTTTTGCCTACCTGTCGCTGATGTGGTCGATGATTTGGCGCCTCGTCAGCCATCCGTCAAATAAGTTGACGGAGTTATTAACACCGTCAACTTTTCTAACGGAAATGGCTATATCTGGCACACAACATCTTTCAAAAGTGGCTATTAGTGGTATTTCGCCAAATGTGGCTATAAGTGGCACAAAGGTGAAAGTTTTGGCTATGCAAGTGTATTTTGCCTAAAAAATAATAAAGAGACATGTTTGTTAAAACATCATAGTAGTTAGTAGATGGACATAATAATAACGCGCATCCCCATGTTAGCATACCCAACTCCCTTGGCACACTCGATTGAAGCCCCTCGCATGCGAATTTTCCCTAGGTCAGCCCACTGCAGCCAATAAAAACCCAACCATTTTGCTCAAGTCGACGCTCGCAGCCTTGCTTCCCAACAGTCTTTCTCCGCGCTTCTCCCTCCGCGCTTCTCCCTCCGCATCTGAAGCGTCAGCTGCATTTTCAGGTGATGATCTTGATTCTTGTCTTACGTTCTACACAGTATTTTGACTGTCTATAGGATTTCTTTGTCTTCTCATTCACTTTATTCATCTTTCTTTCCGCTTAGATGTCGAGTTTTCTGTTCTCTCTTGATTTTGAACGCTAGATGCTTTGTCTCCTAGGATCTAATTTTGCGTTTTGTTATGTTTAATCTGCTCTCAGTTTCTTATGCTGGTTGTCTTTGGTTGCTCATAGCTTTCTGCCTGTTAGATCTTGTTCCCAATATGGATGAGTTGATTGTTGCCGGATGATCATATCGAGTCAGATCTACTTTTTTGTGCGTTGCTAGTTATCTTTTCCGGTGAATTATTGGATCATCCCGTTGCTATAATATCTGCCGCGGGTTTCCTTTTTGTTGTTTTAGTGTATGGGTTATTCGTCTGATTTACATGCTATTATTGATGTTCGAAATTGTTGCTCGCGGATCGTTGGTACATAGTAGATAGGTCTTTTGGCCAGTGGGCTGCCCTCTGGCTGTCGTTAACAATCTATTCTTATCTGGGCCCTACTCATAATTGAAGGGTTCAATTTCGATCCATTCGTTTGTAATGTTTAATTCCTTTGGCAGTATGAACAATCTGATTGTCTTCTCTTCCATTGTAATTAAATCCAATCACGACCCATTTGAGATTTGAGTTGCTTGATTAACCTTTGCTAGATTCCCATAGTGGATTTTTTTTTGTGTGGATATTTAGGATGCGCGGATTATTTTGACGTGCTGTGGAATTCTAGATATGTTTACTCCTGTAAATAGTGTCCCTGAAAAATATTGGTTGATTGTGTGATTGTACTGAGTTCGTAGGTTTGATCCTTGTCTTACCGTGGCTAACTGAATATAAGTGATTGGTTTGGATTCTAGATCTGTCTCAATCTAATGATTTCCTTTTACTTTCTCTTACTTGCAGGGAGAGTGACAATGGCTGATCAGGTCCAACATCCCACAGTGATGCAGAAGGTTGCTGGCCAGTACAAGGACGTTCAGAGGTATGATGGAGCTTTCCAGATGCCTGCCTTGTACCAAAGGCGTGCATATGGAAACTACTCCAATGCAGCCTTCCAGTACTGCGGATCATCTTCTGCATCGGCCATTGTACCATCAAGTGGATCTCCTGTTTTTGTTCAAGCCCCATCTGAGAAAGGGTTGGCGGGTTTTGCTATTGATTTTCTCATGGGAGGAGTCTCTGCAGCAGTTTCTAAAACTGCTGCGGCACCTATTGAGCGTGTGAAGCTTTTGATCCAAAATCAGGATGAGATGATCAAGACTGGCAGACTTTCTGAGCCCTACAAGGGTATTGGTGACTGTTTTAAGAGGACAATGGCTGATGAAGGCGTTGTTGCATTGTGGCGGGGTAACACAGCTAATGTCATCCGTTATTTCCCCACCCAGGTTAAACCAACTTACCTAACCTTTTCCCAAGTTCAGTAACCAATTTCTTCTCTTTTGTTTTCTGATTACTTGTCTCTTTTGAATTTAAATTTTGTCAGGCTTTGAACTTTGCCTTCAAGGATTACTTCAAGAGGCTGTTCAACTTTAAGAAGGATAGGGATGGGTACTGGAAGTGGTTTGCTGGTAACCTGGGATCAGGTGGTGCTGCTGGTGCTTCTTCCCTTCTCTTTGTGTACTCTTTGGATTATGCTAGAACTCGTCTGGCAAATGATGCTAAGGCTGCAAAGAAGGGAGGTGAGAGGCAATTCAATGGTCTAGTTGATGTCTACAAGAAGACCTTGGCATCTGATGGTATTGCTGGGCTCTACCGTGGGTTCAACATCTCCTGTGTTGGAATCATCGTTTACCGTGGTCTCTACTTTGGGATGTACGACTCTCTGAAGCCAGTTCTCTTGGTTGGAGACCTCCAGGTCAGTTCTCTTTTGTTTTCTGATGACTTGGGTCTTTTGGATTTAAATGAATGTAGAATTTGCAAGTAAAAATTAGGCTTTCCCCCCTGATTTCGTCTGTTGGGTACCTATTATCAACACATGAACATCTATTTGTTGGATCAATTTGTTATTGCAGGATAGTTTCTTCGCTAGCTTTGCTCTGGGTTGGCTAATTACCAATGGTGCTGGTCTTGCATCCTACCCAATTGATACTGTGCGCAGAAGAATGATGATGACATCTGGTGAGGCTGTGAAGTACAGCAGTTCGCTGGCTGCGTTCAAGCAGATTGTCAAGAACGAGGGAACCAAGTCTCTCTTCAAGGGTGCTGGTGCTAACATCCTCCGTGCTGTTGCTGGCGCTGGTGTGCTTGCTGGTTACGACAAGTTGCAGCTGATTGTTTTCGGCAAGAAGTACGGATCTGGCGGTGCTTAAGTTCCTCTTACTGGCGTCTCATTTTAGCCCTCTAGATGTTGATGAAAATCTTTCACCTTCCGGGAGAAGTTAGTCTTTTCTGCAAACAGACGTTATGATTATGCTTCTTCAAATAATTACAAATTTTTTTTGAGAGGGGTGGGTGATAAATTCCCCCTGGACCTGCTTTCACTTCGGAATTTTGGATTGAGAAAGTTGTACCTTGATATAGTTTGTGGCCATGGTGCCACTGTCGGATATTTCTATTTTATGTTCTTGATTTTGAGCGATAATCTACACACGGTCCGTTATCCTTTCTGTTGTGTGCATGATAATTTAGGGCCATCTGCTATGGCAAACTAGTCTTGTGGTGGCAGCATCTTGACCAGCTCTTTTTCTACATGATTGATGTTGGGTTTATGATTTATAGCTTCAGTAAAATGAAGCCAATTTGTAAGTCTCGTCTTGTTCAAGTCACGATTGAACAGTTGCATAATTGCATAAACCATTCGTTGGCGTTGGGGGCAAAGTTGTTGCTATTGATAAGGGATTCAAGAATCGTCCCAGATGCCATCATTCATCACGCAGAATATAATCCCCCAGTTCATTTTGCCAAACCTTTTATCGACTTTCCACTTTCACTAGGATCCCCTTCCTCTTCCCTCCAATCGTTGACCATCTTCAATTTGGTCATGCAAGTTCGTTTCCCCACCATTTGATATGGACATCGGTATTGTCCAATGGTGGAAGGGAGCTTTTATATGGCAATTGCTAATTGCCAACCCAACTCAATATAATTATAAACCGAGGAAGAAATGAAGTCAATGATGGTTCGACTGAGTGCACAACAGAGAACCAGATTATAGCATAACTTTTAGAATAGCGAGGGAGAAAGGGAAATCACCGCCCCCTCTCAACAGTTTATCATTTAATCAAGAAGAAATGGTAGGGTATTCAAATGGTTACCATGGTAATTACAAAACTAAATAAGTCTAATTCTATTAATAATAAAGTACGATATCGTAATTAAACCGTTCAAACTAATACAACAACTAAATTAACCAAATTAAAGTTTAATCGGGTTGATTAATTGGTTAACCAAAATAACCAATATAGCATTGCATTATCATTAAGTGAGAAATTTTTTCGGGTAGTGCATCAATTCGCAATTTATATAATGAATTAACACATAACCATCAACGCATAATTATTGTTAAGCCTTAACATAAATACATGTAACCATTACAATTATCTTACATTTGACTTTTTATTGGTTATGCAAAACATTAAATATGTGTATCTAATTAGTTAGTTGGTTAATTTGGTTTTGATCGGTTAGGTTTGTCTGAAATCAAACCAAACCATCTAAACCAAACAAGCTAAAAAATTTAACCAAACCAAACTAATTATCCAAATTAACCAAACTAAATTATCAAAATACTACTGAAACCACAGTAACCACTCCGTTTGAACACCCCCTAAGAAATGGTACATGGTAGTGGTCTTTTCTTGTTGCATCATTAAGTTTTATATAGTCAATACAGACTCTCAATCTAGTGACAGTTTTGGTTGGAAACTCCCTTGTCGTTAGCCATCATCGTTATACCTATATTCTTGGGAACTACCTGCTTCGGGCTAAACATTTGTTATTAGAGATGAGATATACAATACATGCAATAAGAAGTTTGAGCGCCTCCTTCTTCACGACTTCCTTCAAATGGGGATTGAGGCGTCATTGAGGTTGTAGTACTGGCTTGTGATTATCTTCCATCAGAATCTTGTGTGTGCAAAACAAGGGACAAATCCCTTGGATGTCGATAATTTTCCATGCTATATAGCCCTCTTGTGTTTTTTAAGCACAACTATCAAACTCTCCTTATGTTCTGGTGTGAGCATTGAATTGGCGATGATCGACAGTTTTCACTCTTCCGCCAAAAATGAGTATCCTAGATTCTCCGGTAGCACCTTCATCTTCCACCCCCTGGTGGCTCCACATATGATGACTTGATGGTTGGTAGAGGTGGTATCTCTATCACTGGCGGTTCTGGTACATATTCGTCAGATGGTTCATTCAACCCTGTTGAGGTTGATCTAAAATTTTGTAGCCACCCTTTCCGATGATTAAGCATCATTAATGAGGATCATTAGAGTTCAAGTCCAAGATAGAGCAGACAGGTTAAAGTCTGTTTTGGTCTGGAAATTCTTCTTCATCACAGTTCTAGTGTAGGTATGCTTCATACCCTCTCTTTGATCGAATGTTGCTGCCTATGACTCCACTGTTAGTGTAAGCTTTCTGTCATGTACGTCTATCAGTATCTGCTATACTAGTGTGGTCTGCAGCCTGTCTAGGTGGTGGCTCCAATTTTTGGTTGCTTTCTAGAGGTGGTAAACACTCTCGAGGCTCCTTTTCTCGTGCTTTCTCTTTGTCAATATATCATCAGGATATGGAGGTGGCATGGTCCTTCTAATCCGTGGTTTAGGATCTCTCCCAGCATCCCATATATCTCAATGATACAATATTCATAGGCTTTTTGACGATCCTTCATGTTGCTTACTTCTTCAAGTAGCTTCGTTAAGATGGGACAGTCCTTACTGGATTCAATGAGTTGTGCTGCTTCTACTTTGTGACGTACAAGAGGTTCTGGATTGATCTTCGAGAGACTTTTTCCCACTTGGTTGGATAGGTTAAAGATGCGGAACCACACATGAGGATCTTCTTGTCGGCTTCATTAAGGTATGGACTAGTTCCATGATAGAAGGGTCGAATCTGCACTTCTTGTCTAATAGATTTGCCATGTCAAACTGCCTCTTGAGAGTATTGAGTTTACATAGTCCTTCCATTTGCTTCTATTCTTCGGATCTATTTGCAAGTTCCTCTTTCAAGGTGGATACTTGATGACACGGTATTTGCACATGTTTTCCCCTTTGTTTCTTGATTGTTTGAGCTTGAATTATTTTGGCCTATTTTATGCTAGGTTGTGTTCTTTTGTCATATTTCAGGTCCTAGCACATAAATTGAAGCATAGGCGCAAGTTTCAAGTCAATCAGAGATCAATTGACGATTCGGGAGAAGAAACTCGGGTATGACCTGAAGAAGAATGGATTTCTACCTCACTTTATGGACAAATAATCATGCAATCTTGTCATGAAAAGAAAGAGGACGAGACTACGAGCTCTTGGGATCAAACGGCGACTGATTCGGAGTCCGGACGAGGGAGAAACGAAGCATTAAACAGAGGTTGAGCAAGCCACATGGGCATCCTGGAACTCCACACGGCCGTGTGGGTCGTGGCCGTGTGGAAATCACCGAGCCTTCACACGGGCATCTGGGAAAGCCACACGGTCGTGTGGCCTGGCCGCGTGATAGGGAATTCCTGTTTAAAACCCGATTTTCAGCAAAAGGAAAGAGGAGAGCTGGGTTTTTGGTTCCCAAACACCCAAGGGACGAACCCTAGAGAGAGAGAGCGACTTGGGAACATTCTTGGAGCTATTTTGGAGGATTTCTTCGCCATTGGAGCTCGGGAATCAAGCTTGGAGATGGAGATTGAAGATCTAGATAAGATTTCTGCAGTCTCTCTCTTCTCTATGGAGTAACTTCCCTTCACTTAGGTTTTGAGGAACCCTAGTTCCATGTGTTAGGATCTTTCTTGTACGAAGTTTTGGATGCTATATTGTTTGATTATAATCGATTGAGGCATGATTTATTGAGTCAATTGAATCTTGATCAAATCCTCTTGATTTCTGCTTTAACCTATGATAGATAGAATCTGATTAGGTTAAGAGAGCTTCCTTGATTGATAGTGGTGAATTGGTTGTGCGAGAGTCAATCAATTCACTGCTTTGTACTGGAATTCATTCCAGTAGTGGAGTTCTGTGTTTATAGCCTCAGCTTTCTATCCTGGTGAAGACTAGTCGTCTGCCGGGTAGTTGGACTGAGAGGGCTTGGTCAGCTTAAGAGATTCCAAGCTAATTTAGGATCTTCCGCAGTTTAATCAACAGTAGATCAACCAAAGGTAATTGCAACTTGGACCTAATTGAGGAGCTAGGGGGAATCATACCTAAGTGAGTTCCCAACTTGTAATTAGTAGAGTAGTCAGTAGAGTAGTTTATAAATCAATCCTTAATCTAGTTTGCTAGATAATGAACTGAAGCTGAGTAATAGTAACTCTAGAGACCCGTGGATTCGATATTTATTACTTGTGCCACTATACTGCAGTCCCTTTCATTGGTTACACTTGGCCATTGTTAGGTGTTGTGTTTTAGCGTGTCAATACTTGCTTCGGCAATGCTTCAATTTGTTACTTCATGTCTTAAAGGGGATATTGAAGGATATGTACTGCATTGACTAGCCTTGGGGTGATCTCTTTCTTGCAAGGTTGTTGGTGCTTTGTGCTAGTTTAGCATACGTCTGCATTTATTTAGTTGCACTTAGTTGAAGTATGTATCCTCCCATCAATAGATTGACATGTAATGTCGTTGGATCATCTAACCCCTTGTACAATGCTTCTACTAGGTGGTCATTGTTTGATATGATCCCAAATGGCCCACCATTCACGTCAAAATTACTTGACAAAGAAGCTGTCGAAGTTGGGAAGAAGAAAGGCAGAATTTGGCTAAGTCAAAATCCGTGTTCAGGGTACATACTTTGGAGGCATGGTTCTCTCAATTGGCTTGGTGGAAATTCAAGTTTAAGGGTTTGTTTTACAGATAAAGTGACCATGTTTCCAACGGTATGCTTTATGGATCCAGAAGATGTCATTAAAGTTGTTTTCCAAGGCCTCAAAGTTGCTACCTCAAAACTGGAAAACTGCCAGAAAATGGTTAAGTCTGGAAACTGTTTTGTGAAGCCTACTTTGGAGCTTAATTCGAGGAGTATGGATGTGATTCAAGTCCAAAGGCTTCCACAACATGAAACTAGGTATGTTTATGTACAAAGGGAAGGAATTGGATGAAGGGTTGGAGTTCTATAAGGCTTCGAACGAAAGGCGCGAAGTTAGTACGAAAGCTGCGTTTGGACTGTTTGCTGGCAGCTTACTTGCGCTTGGAGAAAGAGAGTTTAAATCCGGTTTTTGTGTCCTTTTTAGTGTAGACTTTACCTTAATTGTTTCCTAGTTCTATTAGGTTTGTGTTAGGTTTATTTTCCTTTAAATACCTTCTAGTTTTCGTTGTAATAGTTAGACTTTGTTGATTAATCGAAAAAGAAACCGTTTTGGTTTTGTTCAAGTTTGCGAACTTGTTCTTGGGTTTTGATTGCGATCAAAACTTGCTGACCTGCTTATTGATCGAGAAATCACACTCGATTATATCGAAAGCTTCACCATAACGATTGTGCATTCTTCCAGGTGTAAGAATTCCCTTTCGTTTCCGTTTTATCCAATTTTCGTATTAAGAACGCATTGTTCTTGATTCGAGTTCATTCAATCTTCGGATTGATCGTGTTGCTGCGTGACTTTGATAACATACACCCCCCAGGG